TGCTGGAAGCAATCGAATCTAGGAGCAAGAAAACTGGCAGAACCTCTTCTTGAAGGTTTGACGAGAGTAGACGGACGGGTGAGGAGAGCAAATCCGTGACTTTTTTTTCTGAGAAGTTTTCCCTCCTCCGGAAACTCTGTTACAACCAATCACCAACAAGGTTCTGACGCAGCACTGAAAATATGGAGCATAATAATGCAGAGCACTCCTTGCGATTACACACCTATATGCTGGAGGACCTCAACCACTTAACAGCATACAAGACCAAGGGTAATGCAGTCAACATGTAGGTTAACAATCATTAATCCAACTGGTGAAGAGTATCAATTTAATGGGTTGTTCACTAAAGCCCATATGAGCACCTCACAACTTTTAATGAGATTCTGCAACATCAACGGTGAAAATAAATGGGGTGTCTGAATAAGCAAATCACACTTTAGCTTGTTTCCATTCTCACTAGGAGGCAACGCTAAGCTTTGGTTAAATTCTTTTCCAGAAGAAAGCTTTACATAGTGGGAAGCAGTGGTAACCAAGTTTCCTAAACAAATACTTTCCACAATCAAAAGTAAATAAAGGAGCAAGAGATTTCTCATCATTCAGGCAAGCATGGAGGAATCACTGGGGCATGCTGGGCAGGTATAAAAGCTATTAAAAGAAAGACAACCCACGCATGGCTTTTGATGATGTGCAGTATCCCTAATCTTCCTTTGGAGTCTTGGTTCACAAACCAAGATGATGCTTGATGCCTCAGCAGGAGGAAATATCAAATGGAAAACTCCAGAGGAAGCTACAGAAATCATTGACAATAAGGCTACTAATGACAATGAACTCAACAGTGAAAGCAGATATCTTAGTCAGAAGGAGTTGTTACAATCAAATGATGCTCTGCTTATTCAAAATAAAATTATTTCTCAACAGTTGGAAGAATAATATGAAAAACTTTCCTCATTACCCAAGAAATAAAAAGGTTTTCATGGTTCAAGGGCAATAGCACAATGGCAAATGCAATCTACTCTACTCCATCTAGAAGACAACCAAACTTGACGATACTTTCCAAAAATTCTTGAAGACGAATTGCATCTTAATTTTGTAAGAATGTGGAAGTTGCAATTTAAAAATATGAGATCCATATTGAGTTAATAGTTTGACAAGATGAAAAATGGTAATATCAGAAAGGCGTGTAAACTGTTTGTGACAGAAGTGTAAGGTGTAGAGGAGAGAAAAAAAGAAGAGCGGATAACGAAAAATTAGAGTGACAACGACCCTGTTAGTGGAAAGAAAGATTTTGAGAGAGCAACAAGCCCCGACGAAACGATAAAAAGAAGAAAACAAGAAAGAGAGAGAAGAGAGAGATGAAGACCAAAAGAAAGATAGTTTGAAAAACCACTTCCTTATCCAAAGAGCTCTTCAAGGAAGGAGAAAGCAACACAACTGGAAAGATTCCTGGAGCTGTTTAAAAAGCTGGAGATCACATACCATTTCGAAGCCTTGCCACAGATGCCATCATATGCCATCATCTGCAAATTTTTTAAGGAAATGCTTACAAAGAGAAACAAATACATTGAGAAGTGAAACTATCACGGTACAGTTAACGCAGTGCAATCATAACAAAATTACCTCCTAATCTTAAAGATCCAGGAAGCTTCACACTATTCATGCACCATATAGCCTTGGAAGTTGAAGAGCATTGATTGATTTGGGAGCTAGCATTAATTTAATGCCGTTATCCATGTGTAGAACAATTAAAGGTTTGGAAATCAAACAAACCAGAATGGCTCTTCAACTGGCGGACAGGTCTCTTAAATATCCATATGGAGTGGTTGAAGATGTTTTAGTGAAGGTTGACAAATTTTTTATTCCATAGATTTTATTTGACGGAGATGGAAGGGAATATGATTTACCTCTCATTCTTTGAAGACCTTTTATGAATAGACTGCTAAGTTTTAATTGGATGTAGAGATGGTAGCTTTTAAATTGAGAGTTGATTATGAGAGTCACTTTTGACGTATCCCAAGGCCCTGACATATCCAAATGATGATAAAGCATTTGTCAATTTGATGAACTTGATGAAGTTTGTATGGTGCAAGAAAGTATGGTGCGGTATGTTTCTCACTAGAGAAAACTCTTATTGATGCTTGTGAGATTTATGATGAATAAGAAGATAGAAATTAATTGATGAATGTCTGATGGACTGGAAACATTGAAAAAGAGTCCAGTGGAAGATCCAATGTGTTGAAATAATTGAAAGGAAGAAGAAGTCAAAGCAAAGCCGCTAGAATTAAAAGATTACCAGCACATCTGAAGTATGTTTTTCCTAGAAAAGATGGATAAAGCCCAGTCATCATCAGGAACTCTTTATCTCTACAAGAAGAAGAACACTGATAAAAAATTCTGAAATCTACAAAGAAGCAATTGAGTGGTCATCTCAGATCTTACAGTATAGCCCAACTTATTGTATGCAAAGATCTTTATGGAAGAGGATTATAAACCGGTGCTCAACCACAGAGAAGGTTAAATCCTGTAATGAAGGAGGTGGTTAAAAATAATATTGCAACTGTTAGCAGCTGGTATCATTTATCCCAATCTCTGATAGTGAATGGTTGAGTTCCATTATAGGTTCCCAAATAAAGGTGGGCTGACATAAATCATAATGATAAGAATGTACTTATCCCTACTCGGACCTTTACTGGATGGCGGATGTGCATTGATTACAGGAGCTAAATAAAGCCACTGGAAGGATCATTTTCCTCTCCTTTCATGGACCAGATTTAGAAAGATTATCATGTCAAGCTTCTATTGTTTTCTAGATGGATACTCTGGAACAAATCAAAATTGTGGTAGATCCAAAAGACTAGGAGAAGAACGGCCTGTAACTGCCTTTTGGTATCTTTGCTTATAGAAGATGCCGTTGATTTGTAATGCTCCAGCTCATTTCATTCAAAGGTGTAAATGCCGGCAATTTTTTGCAGATCTCTTTAGAAAAAATGCATTGAAGTATTCATGGCTGATTTTTCAGTTTTTGGAAATTCTTTCCAAGTGTTTGGCTAATTTGAACACTGTTCTTAAAGATGTGTTTCATAGACAAATCTTGTTCTTAATATTGGGAGAAATTCATTTCATGGTAACTGAAGGAATTGTGCTGGGACATAAAATTTCTGCCAAGGAATTGAGGTCGATACAGCTAAAGTAGAAGTCATGAGACACTGCCTCCACCACAAATGTAGGGGGATTAGGAGTTTGTCTCGTCATGCTGGTTCTATAGAAGATATTCATTAAAGACTTCTAAAAATTGCTAAACATTGAGTAAGTTTGATGAAGGACGCTCCTTTTTGTGATGAATGAAGAATGTTTGAAGCTTTTTGACATATGTGAAGAGCACTTATTGTTTAGCTCTTAATTGTAGCCCCCGATTGGAATATAAATTTTGAATTAATGGTGTGATTTAATTTAATGAAATTGAAAATGAAATATTTTAAATAGGAACTAGGATGTTTTTTAATTTAATTTTTGTGATGTAATGCTTAATTTGAAATTTAGATGATGCAATTTGTAAAATTTTTTTGAATAATTACGAATTGAGTATTGCATTGGCTTAAAAAAAATTTTCATTAATACCTCTTTTTTTTATTAACACATTTATTGAAATAGTAATAAACATATATTTTTTTTAATTTTTTTTCAGTTTTTACTTTATTTCATTGCGAATTTCCAAATTTTCATTAATCACATTCGTGGCCTGCCCTTCCCCTTTTTTGCATTTTTGCTTGTTTTGCTCTGCTCCTTTTCTCCCCTGCTCTGCTGGCTGCTCTTACCTCTTCCTTGATTGCTTGCTTGTTTTTCCTTCCCCCCTCTTTTGCTTGTGCCTCCACACCCCCCCCCTAGCCTTTCTTTCTCCCTTTCAGCCCTCCTCCCCCCTGCTTTTTTTCTCTCTGTGGCCCTCCCTCCTTCTGCTTTTTCTTTGGGCTCTCTGCCTCTCTATTTTTTTTTATTTTTTTGCCCTTTCATTTTGCATCCCTTTTTTTTTTCCTCCTCCGGCCATCTCCCCCTTGCCCTCTTTCTTTTTCCACTTTTTGCCCCTCCTTTGCCGTTTGTTCTTTCTTTTTCCTTCCTTTTCTCTTTTCCCTTCTCTTTTTCTTTTTTTGTCGTGCATTCTCCTTGTTTTCCTCCTTCTTATTCTTTTTTTTTTCTCTTTCTTCCTTTTCCCCTTGTGCCCTCCTCCCTCTTTCTTCCATTTTCTCTCCTTGCTCTTTTTTTTTTCTTTCGGGCCTTCTTTTTCTGTTTCCTTCCTCCACCCTGTCCCTCCTTTGCTCGTTGCCTGCCTCTATTTCTTTCTTTTTTTGCCCTTTTTTGCCTTCATGTTTTTTCTCCTAGTTTGACCTCCCTTTTTTCCCCTTTTTTGCTCTTGTGTGCCCGCTGCACCCCCCCCCTTGCCTTTTTCCTGCTGCTTTCGTGTTCTTTTTCCCCTTCTTTTGACTTGCTTTTATGGCACCACTTTCCCCCCTTTTCCTTTGCTCCTTCCTTTTTGCCACTATCTTTCTTTTCCCGTTTGCCTTTTTCCTATTTTTTCTTCTTATCTTTTCCTTTTCCCTTTTCCCTTCTGCAACCCTTTTTTTTATCACCCCCCAATGCTTTACTTTTTTTCTTCTTCCATCCCCATTTTTCTTTTTTTTCTCCTTTTTTCGTATTATTTTTTCTTCATTCCTTTTTCCAAATTCCTCTTTTCTTTTCTCCACTCATTTTTCCAAGTTGCACGAATTTTTTGCGGTGATTATGTCAATAGGAGTTGTTCGTGCCAGCGAAAAGAACAATTTTTTCATCCAATTTATTATGCCAAAAAAGTTCTAAATGATGCCAGTTGAATTATGCTACCAACAAGAGAAAGAATTTTCTAGCTATAGTGTAATCTTCTAGAAATTTAGACCCTTATCATTATTGGTCCTAAGGTGATTATTGATAACAGTTGAAAAAAATTTCTTTTATTTTCATGATTAAAATTGACACTAAAGCACCTTTACACTTGAAACTAGCTTGACTTTCATGCTTTTCCTGTATATTTTTGGATACATGGGATCACCAAAAGAAGGCTGCAGAGGAAATCCAAATTGCCCAAGGTACTTGTTTGCCTGTACCATTTCAGTTCCATGTGAAATGTTTCCCCCAGTTGAAACCCCAGGCGTTAGTGGATTATAACTAGAACTAGTAGCTCCATCAACAACAAACGGTACAGCACCATGAGGAGGGTATGCAGTAACATATGGAGGAAAAGCTGTCGGATTTACAGTGTATCCACCAACATATTGTGGAGTATACATACCCGGGGTCTGCATATTTGTGTAAAATGGATTTGCTGAGTTCATATAAGCAGCTGCTGTGGCGTATAGGGGAGGTGTAAACCCAGACGACTGCAGTAGTGGCTGGACATTGGAGAACTTGCTTGAATTAAAAGGAAACTGTTCCCTACCAATATACACAGAATTTACATTTTGAGAATTGGCGTTAATATCAGATGCATTGTTTTGTTGCTGGAATCCTGCGTGTTGCATCTGGTAGCTAGTCTTCCACTTTTCTTCGTAACTCAGACTTTCTGAGCGTGGTAGATTAGATACACCAAGAGCCTTTAATTGAGAGGCAACAGAAGCAACATCTAAGTCATTAACACCAATGCTACCAGTCGATTCAAGAGATGAAGAGCTTGTAACTGGGGCATGGGTATCAACAATTGATGACACCCTTATACTATCCGCACCTACAGTAGTTTTAGCAGCTTCTACTGTAGTAATAGGGGGATCATGAGAAGAACTAGAACCGACTTCTAAGTCAATTGGTTTATCCACTAGTCCAGGACTTTCGGAAAGAGACTTATTATATACAGGTGACATGGTACGAGGGAAATCCTCCTGAAAGTTTGAGTATTGCACAAGAAAAATACGATTCACAGTCACAAATTTATACACAAGGAGGCAAAAAATTTAATTACTTTTACAACTCAGAAAATCAGAAAGATAAAAATACCACAACTGTGGGATTAATACCCACTGCTATAAGCACACGGCAAAATAAACTAGAGAAAATAAATGGAAAATAAACATGATAATCATACTATTTGTTAGAAAGAAAATTAAGGGACTTAAATATGCATTTATACAAGCAGAAAAGAAAATTGAACGGATTTTACAAAATTAGCATAATCACCTGAATTAAATCAACAACGTTTTTAGGTTGAGATACCAATGAAGCCGCATCAGGTCTACGCCACAATCCGCTCACCTTAATCAATTCATCATCATATGGCTGTTGGTGTGATTCATCTTCCAACTCCTCCTTGTGTGTGGAAAGTGTCCTTTGAGGCAAATGTAAGGAATTTTTATCACTATCATCAGCAGCAGACATTCTCCAGTTATTTCTAAAACTGCCAATATGACGTCCTAGATGACGGTTTTCCCAGGATGTAAGCGGGGGAGGAAGTCTAGGGTTTAGGTTGACATTGGAACTGTAATATGCCAAATAAGCTGGATCTGCTCGCAATTGGTCTTCAGACTCACAATTTTGCACAACACTGCTTAGAGCTGCAAAGCTTGCATTCTGGGTGATGATCTGCTGGGGTAAGAGGTTTTCTATGGCCAAAAACGAGCCTTCTATGCTGGGAGGTGCACTGCCACTTCGATTTGGTGTCAGATCCTTTCTCCCACCATGGAACCTATGGCCATTCAAAAGTATACCCAAATCCTCTGTCGCCATGTTGCGAGATGTTGAACCGAAAGCTGTAGCTTCCTTATGTGAGGGCCATTTACCCCCAGCTTCAGAGATTCTAATTGGACTCTCAGTTGCCATACTACTGTAAGATTAGCTGTCCCCTTCTTTTGTAATGAAAATTACAAATATCACATTGCATCCTAAAGACCATCCAAAATCAGCAAGTCAGTAAATTCTCTTATCAAGAAATGCGTCATAACACTAACTACAGTTTATTCAAACAAACAATAACTCCAGCCAATTAATACAACTAGTGCTAAAAAAGCCATTAACTCAATTCTTCCACATAAATTTGCAGGAGCATTGAGTAAAAACTCAATTTCACTGAGGCAACAGCACATATCAACTAACTAATACAAAACAAATAACCACCATGCATGACATCACACTGAAAAACAAGAACTTCAACTATGATCCGTGTCATGCATCCATCCATGCACAACATCAAACATTTCATAAAACCATAAATTACAAAAATACTCAGACAAAAAACATCAAAAGCACTCCATGCCTATATATTCAATTAAAAAAGAAAAGTAAAAAACAAACAAACTACACAACAGACAAGCGCTTCTTCTGGTCAAAGAAACACGTCCCAGTCGTTTACCATACAAGCATACACACAACAATCACACACACAGCTTCAAAACCTACCACGATTATCATCACCATAACACGTAAAGGAAAACAAGGTAAATTCCATGCAACACACGAACAGAGAGCAACCTCGAAATCAAAATAGAGAAACTAGTTGAAGAAATATCAGAGCAAGAGAGAGAAGGAGAACCTGATGAGATGGTGAAGATTCACTGTTTCAAAACCCTAAATTGATCGCACAGCAAGAGAGATATTGATGGGTTTGAGTTTTGAGGTGTAACGAAAGAGTGCAATGAGGAAGAGGAGCAGAGGATTTATTTTTCACTTGTTTTGAATTTTTAAATATATAGAAAAGAGAAGAAACAAAAGCTGCTGTTTCTTGTTTTTTTTTTTTTCTTCTGCAAATGGATAATAGAAAAGAAAATCGCTTTTGCTATTATTATTTTTCTTTGGTCTGTGTCGTTAGAGTCAGAATGGGACAAACATGGAAACTAAACTTCTTCATAATATCACTATTACTGTCCATCATTGTTTCAACCCTAACAATAAATAATTGAAATCATGAAGCTTTTACGCAACATAATAGTATTAATGACTCAAAAAAAAATCTGTGATTTTGTTATTGATAATAAAGTCATGTGTATTATATCAAAATATGTTTTATAATTGTATATATATTTGAACTATTTAATAAATTTATATTTTGACAAAATATATTTAATAATTTTTTTTAAATGACTTAAAAATTTATTATATTTAATAATATATAAAATTAAATTATTCTTTTAAAATGTAAAATATTAATGTTAATATACTACATTAATTGAAAGACAAAAATGACTAAGTAAAATATTGTCCTGCTTGTATTTTAAGATAAAGAAGGGAAAAAATGTGTGAAATAAGATAAATAAAAGAAGGAATGAAGTCTGAAATTTAAATGAGACTGTATTTATGCATTCTATTAAAAAAATTATAAAAAGTAATCTTATAAAATATTATCTTTATATATATTTTTTAACTACCATGGACTTGTAAGTTGCAAAATGATTCAATTGAACAATAACAACAATTAGTATTATATAGATTAAAATTATTTTGTAAAATATAAATTCAATGTTAATAATATATAAAAATTAATTAAATAATTTTATATTTTAAAAATATTATATTTAATAATAATATATATTATTTAAATTTTAACACATTTAAATTAATTTTATATTTTTGATTGAATTTAAATTTGCTGTTATCAAACATAATAAATTTCAATATATTTGACGAAAGTTGTATTTTAATAATATCGCGTATTTAAATTTATTGTATACTTATAGATGATTTTCATTTTATAATGTTATAGTATGCAATATACAAATTGTGTATTCAAATTTAAATTAACTTTTAAAGAAAAGTAATGTTAATACATATACATAATATTTAATTAATGAATAATGTAATATTATAAATTAAAAAATATAGTATAGAGAATATATTTATAGTTTTGTAATTTCAAAATTTAATTCAACTCAATTATTATAACATTGAATGTCTTACATTAAATATGAATTTGTTTAAATACATAAATATTTAGTTGATGCACATACTCACCTTGTGTTGTGTCATTGTACATCTTTCCTTTCTTTCTTTATATACTTCTAACAAACAGTGAATAAATTCTCAATCACATTGATAAAAAATATGATAAATAACTACATGACCATTTAATATCATATAATAATTGTTTTTTCTCTAAATAAAAACTACCTATACAATCTATAATAAGAGGGAATGCAACAGAATAAATAAATAAATAAATACTTTATTTATCTAACAGACAAAAAAAAGTTATTTAATTTTTGAAATTGATAAAAATAATTAAAAATTGACCAAACCCAAGAACACTTTATACATATCAGAAAGGCCTAAACCCTGATTTTGTCTCAATGTATTATTTACTGTAGCTAAGAGACTTTTTCAGTGTTCAGTTTTGTGTTGGTCCATCTTATTCTTCTTTCTACTTCATGGCAACAGAGGCTAATGAGAGTACACAGATGAACACCCTTGTAGTTAGAAAAGGGTGTTTTGGTCTCCCCACCGGTTGCCCTCAATGCTTATCCGCCTATATTTTTCTCAAGTTCTCTCAAGTTCCCTTCAACTTGGATTATCACCCTAACTACCCTGATTCTGGTAAACTTCAATCTTCATCTCTTTTATGCCAGAAAAGAAACAATGATTATTCAATTATTCCTTTTATCTATTTTCTTTTTGAAGTTTAGGCCTTTTAATCATTTGATTGTGTTTGAGGCTTCTGGGTGGGTAATCTTTCTTACATTCATATCCCGTCTGATTAAGTTTCTTCCTTTTTGCTATTCTTGTTCTTTCTTGACATATGGGTGTTTCAATTTGTTTGTTGTATTTTTTATTGTTATTTTCATTTTGGCTGTATTTTTTGGCGTTTAGATCAGATTCCCTACTTTGAGACGGGAGATTGTGTGACATACAATAATGAGAAGGAGGGGATAATTGAGAGCTTGAAAAGGGATGTTGGTGATTTAGATAGTGGTATTTCTTCTCTCCCTGATTGGATGGCAACCAAAGTGTTGCTCACCACATGGCTTGCTGATGCACTGGAGTATGAACTGTGGGTGGGATGTAGTGGTTCCTCTGCTAATAAGATCTATTATTCTGATCTTCCCTGGCCTATAGGGCGGATCCTCTATTGGAAGAAAGCTCTTTGGGTGATGCAGAAACATGGGATAAGTAAAGAAAATGCTGAAAAGAAGGAAGAAGAGGTTAGTTTCTCTTGAACTTTGCTCACAACACTTGAGACTGGGACAAGTTCTCTCTCCTGTTCCATTTCTAAACATTGCTTACAAAAGGTGAATTTTATTTAGTATCTAACCTTTGTTCCAATATTTTCCTTTTACTTAACAGTGTTTATGTCTGTGATTTTTAATCTTACGGAGCTGTCTCTGGTCAACAGATTTATGGGAGAGCAAACTCTGCATATGATGCTCTGTCAACTTTGTTAGGGGAGCAAAACTACCTTTTCGAAAATAGGTTCTCTGCTGGCGTTATGTTATATAGAGCAATATGTGCTACTATTTTGGGTTCCTTTCATATAGAGATCAAGTTTTGACTTTGAACTCCTAGTAATGTATTTTGTATGCCTGTTTATGCAGGCCATCAAGCTTGGATGCTATTTTTCTTGCTCATGCATTAGTTATTCTTCAAGCTTTACCCGTGAGTTAAGTTATATCAGTAATTTTGCCATGATTTTGGTATATACTTTTTAAGATAGTATGATACTCTGGCAACTAATGCGATACCCATTTGAGTAAGAAATCCCCTATCAATAAGAATTGAACAGTGAATCTATGTATTGTGGCATGTGTCCAAAGGAACTTACAATTGCTAGCATTCATTTGACAGATACTTTGCTTTAACATCAGGAAGAATTGTACTCACTGAATCTATAAGTACTAGAGTTAGGATCCCAGAATTATTGAGTACAAGTCTCATAATAGAATTGGTAAAGTAATTCATGGTTAAGCAAACTTAAAGCTGGGAGTTTGAAAGGTTCTCTGTCTGGTGAAAATGAATTCATTGCCCAATTATATTGAAGTTACAACATGTCATGTTTATATAGTACAGAAACTGGACTCAGTAGATTCTAACTGAAGCTGTTATCAGATGATAACAAAGATAGTTAGAGAAGCCACCTGTCAAATATCTTCTAAATCTATTCAACTACTGCTGTTCAAGTAAAGTAAAAATAAATGCCAGAGTAAAACTATACTCCAATATTTACTAGTCTTGTAATAGAACAGTAAAGTAATTATTGGTTATGCAAACTTACAGTTGAGCTGAGAGTGAATTGAAAGACCACCGACCAACCATGGTTGTAAAGTGACAGTTGCTTGTGGGTGCATGAAAAGTTCATATTCTTCGGTGGCGCTGTAAATTTGATTGGCTGAACTGAGTGTAATTGGTGTTCTGGGATAAGCATCAGTTTTTCCTTTGGCTTCCTAGTAATGGAACCTTTAAATTGTGTTAGTGCAATTTATTTGATTATTATGGAAGAAACTTGTAGAAATTGGTTGATTTCTGTGGTTAATCTTCTCTCCAACACAGGTTTTGTTACCACTTTGTGGCAAAAATAGTAGTCAAATCTTATCCTCCTATGCGTGGTTGGTTATATGGATTAAAAGTCATTGTACTCTATCAAAACTGATAAATCCATTAAGGGTAAAGATATTTTCTAGTAATTTCTCTAAAAGTTTCCTTTGGTCTTCCTCTTCCTTTTTCTAGTTCAAGTATATATTTTGTCTCATTGATACCTTATTGGCCCCTGACATTCATTGCCATGGATCATTGCTGGACTTATGTCTAGTTTGATAGGAATCCTGTGACCACACATTATGTCTGAAAACATTTCTTCATTTCATCCACTCATGCTTACATCCTTCTCAATTCCCCCAACCACTTTGTAAAGCAGATACAAGGTAGTAAGATACTTTCACCTTTCAACTTGTTTTACAACGCACTGACCAAATTTACTGCTACGTGACATTGAAACTTGCTTCTTGCGGACCTTAATAAAAAAACCCTTTCATTTAAAATTTTTTCTTCATATCACAAGTTTATAATTTGCTCCTTCTCTTAACTCATTAACTAGGATTGCATGATTGGAAAAAGAACCACACATTTAGTAACCTGCTCTTGAATGTTCTTAGTATGTCATTACTCAGTGTAAAAAGGTATGGACTAGAAGTGAATTCTTGCTTCAAAAATATTGCCATTACCTAGTAATGATTCTATGAAAGAAGGTTACATATACAGAAGGGTCCCTGTAAATGGGAGAATGATAGTTTATGATTCATCATTTCCTTTGTGTTGGGAATTGTTATTTTTAAAGCATAGCTGGATAATAGGAAATACTCTTGAACGAGGAAAACTGTGCAGGTAATGCTGCCTCAAAGGTGTGGCAAATCCTTTGCACTTTAATTGTTTTTGCTTTTGCTCTGTTCAACCCTTGAGATATCTTTTTGATTTTTTATCCTGAGCTAAGTGTTGTTTGTGTAACTGGCTAGCAGAAATTGTTTACTATAAAAGCACTGCAAAATTATATTTGAGGCAAATTTTTTAATTAATATGCTGCATTTATATACTACCAGGAATCATCAATTTTGCGGGTCAACTTTTTGGAACATACCATTTTGGTGAAATATGTGCAGCAATGCAATACAAAAATTATAGAAACTAGTGCTTTGCCTTCCAATTATCCAGATTTTCATGCAGAACCATCATCATCAGCTTCTAAAGGTCGTTCAACTTCAGGTAAGATATTTTTAGGATTTATTTCATGGATTTCCTTGAAAAGTGTAACTACTGCATATTTCTTTTCCTTTCGTGTTAAATGACGAGCACACTCATCTCTCTCTCTCTCTCTCTTTTATATATATATATATATATATATATATATATATATATATATCCGAATAAGTTGCAGTAATGAATATATTGGAAAGTTGTGGCTTATAGTACTCTGGCTTGATATTATAGCAATAGGACTGTACCATTTCTATAACTACTACGAAATATTCCTGGTATAGAGTGGAATATTCTGAAATGTTCATGTTTCCGGTTGCTGAGTGTTATATGAATGAGTTTAACAAAACCCCCTTCATGGTAATTAGTTGCCATATTTACAGAACAAATGAAACAAGCCATGAACATGGATACACAATGAATGATTCTAGGTTTGTGATCCTGTTCTCTGATCACATGCTTTTTCATCACAAGCAACAATAGTAGGCGAGGCCAGTTACATGGATCACACTACACCATTGAGCTTATTAAAAGCCAATTCTTCTTGGATATTATTCACCATGAGATCCCTTTTAGTTTTCTCTAATATTTTTCTCGGTAATCCTTATCCTCCTTTTCATAGGGCTAAAACCATACAAGCTAGTCTCCTCATTGGTGCCCCTAGTAGCCTTTTCTTACATGTCCAAGCCACCTTAATCAATTTTCTATAATTTTTTCCTTGAATGTGCTGCACTAATTTCTCCTTTATACATTCATTTTGTATTTTCCCTTGTGTGACCACACGTCTTTTTAACATTTATTTATTTATTTTGTTTATTCCCACTTTTTCTCACCCCTTTAAAGTTTAATCGATCATGTTGCCGTATCATAAAATTTTTCCTTTTAAGCTTGCTAGAAATCTTGCAGTCACAGCCTTTCTCCGTTTTAAACCACCCGAGTTGTATTTTTCTGACATTTTCTTTAATTATTCCATTATTTTGTAATATTGGTCACAGATACTTCAATTTATAAACATGTATGACACATCTAGTTTTTACCTATACATCATTTTCCTCTTGTTTCTTACTAAAAATCTTGTTTCTTACTAAAAATCTTGTTTCTTACTAAAAATGCTATGCATATACCCTGTCTTCTACTCAAAAGAAATCCCGTTGCATATACTGTCTTCTGCGCACGCAAAATCCCTTTGAATTCAATGTTTGTCTCGATCAAGTTTAGAATAACCTCTTTTCTTGATTGCTCAATCTAAACTATATTATCTGAAAAGGAAAACATAATTTATGGATAATCTTTTGTAGAGATGGATCCAAAGTAGGTTCACGAAGAGGCCACTAATAATTTTTTTTTTATTAACTAGTAGGTAAATTGTCATATTTTATGAAATTAATTTCAAAATATAACTTTAAAATATTTCTAAAGAAGTATTTAAAATTATATATAAGGATATTAAATTTAAAATTGTAAAAATAAATTTGTCCATTTAATAAATAGTGGGTGACATAAGCAGTGGGGATGATCAAATGCAATATAGATGGTGCAGCAAGAGGAACACCTGACCAGCTGCTTGTACAAGGCAATTCAGGCGAGTACATAGGAGGACTTTTGGCCTTTATATCCTTAATTACGAGTTCATACAATTCCTAGCATTCCTAGTAATTAGTTCATACATGTCTTAATCAATGTATAAATCTGTTTAAAGCATGGAGAACATGATTGAGTTGATACATTGCATTTCACTATGCTATATAATTGATTTTATTGGTGAATGCATGTCTGATGTTTTATAGAAAGAAAACCACAAGCACCTATGTTGAACTTTTTATTGTGTGGCAAAACAACAGTTTTAAGTCGACTTCATTATGGGTTAGTCGATTAAAACTCGTGGCTTTGCACAAACTTGTTCAAAGTGTGCTGTGAGGATTTTCAAAGAAGAAGTTTTGCAAAACTTTGTTTAACTGTTACATAGTCGATTATATGCAACTTGCATTCGACTAAGTCTGTTATAGTTTTGAAATTCTGTTAATGCTTGTGTTAAATGTTACAACAACTATACTTTTATATATGTTGACCAAGCATTTATTATGATTCGATTGCATTAATTGCACATTCAATTAACTGCATTGATTGTTGCTAACTGCTTTGACTAAATTGTAACATTCGACTGCATTAGTAGCTAACTCGATTAAAATGCGCCTGAATTGTGAAAATTTATAAATTGATGCGAACTTGACCTCTGTAAGAACATTTGTGATTCTAACAATTTTGTGATATTTTGCAGAGAATGCATTCTTACAGAGAAAGGGAAAGAGCTCCAAGAAACAAGAACTGACCGTGGTGATCATCTACTTGTGAATTCTTGAAAAGCAAGTTAACTGCACTTACAAAGGCTGATCATATCTGCACATTTGGGTGTTACTGAAAGATCAGAGGCTACAATCTTGTAAAGATTGGTTTGAGGTTTCCCTGTTGTGATTATACAAGAAGAAGAGCGTGTTGCGTTCTTGCTGCTAGTCTATTTTGTATATGCCTATATTTTGATTAGAGGGTTAGAGAGGTGTTTTATATTTTTGACGTGAGGTTGCCATAAAAACCTTGTTGTAAAAACCTTGATCATTATAGTGCATTGGCTTGCTGTGGCTGGAAGGACACTAGATGTAGGCTTGGCCGAACCAGTATAAAAACCCAGTGTTTGATCTTTCTATCCTTGCACTTTTTATTCAGTCGACTGCATACTGCATTAAATCGATTAGATTTCCGCTGCATAAACAAATCTTTTTCCTTGCATTTCAAGAAAGCTTTTAAAGGCATCCACTTTGCGAAAAAGTTTTAAGAAAACTTTGCTTTTACATTTCACCAATTCACCCCCTCTTGGTGTGAGAAATTAAGCCATTCTATTTTCAACACACTTGGTCCGCCTACTTTAACTTTGACACTACTTTTCCAGAAATCATCTTCCACTTCATCTCCATGTACACTAACATCCATTATATCATATTCACTCAAGACGTCCTCATGGCAACCCCTTTAGGGACTTCCCATCCAAAGAAGTATCAACTGAAACTAAGACTAAAGAAAGGGAAGTAGAATAAAGATTGCTAAAGCTCTTTCCTTATCTAAGTCTTAGATAGATTCTGTTTAACTAATTCCATTGTTTTGTAGGATAATAAAGGTTGGAAGGATCCTAGGAAGCTTACCAAATTAAGAGGAAACAAGAAAGTCGTGAAGTCTCTTCTCTTTGGAGCACACTTTCCACATTTTCCATGAGAAGCACATATAGTCGTTCATCTTCTTTCTTTGGAGCACAATTGACATCATTTTCATGTGGAACACATGCCAATTATGAATCACATTTACCACATGGAACACACCAGCCGTGAGCTTATTCAATTACACATGTTTTCAACAATTATCACATGGAACACACGGCCATCTTTGGGAAGCAGCTTCTGCACATTCCACTTTACTTCATGCACGTTGTAATTTGCAGCTTTCCTTGCACATTCTCAAGCTTCTCTTCATCTATAAAAAAGAGCTTGATCCATTATAAAACTTAACTTGAGTGTAATAGTGAAATGCTGCTGAAATCCAGCCACCTCTCTCGAGTTCACCACTTGTGCCTCTTTAGCATATTTTCCTCCAGCTTCCTTCCCTCTTGGAAGGCTTTCTTAGCTTGTGAGGCTTCAAACACACACCAAACTCGCACCGAACCTTCCATAGAACACCTGGTGTGCACCTCCGTTTTCTTTCATCATCTCATTACGCTACGTCACTTTGAGTCATGGAGCTGCTTGAGCTTGAAGCTTGGAGCCGCTTTCATCACATCCTGTTCGAACCCATTGGAACTACCAACATCAGATTCATCTAGACCCTCACCCTTTCCCTCCACAACAACCTTGCAAACCATTTTCCTTTAGACCAACATCATGTAGACCCTCTCCCTCCACAACAATCTCATTCTGAACCCCCCCTCCTCCCCCTCCACAACAACCTCATTTAAACCATGTCCCTCTACACCAACCTCATGTAGACCCTCTCCCTTAACAACAACCTCATTCGCAACACCCTCAACTTTACCATCCTCATTTACTACTTCACAATTACCCTCTCTATCCACAACAACCTCATCCACACCAACCTCAACTTCACCATCCACATTTACTTCTTCACAATTACCTTCTCCCTCCAAATGAACCTCACCCTGACCCTCGACATCAATTAATATATGTCTATATATTTAACCCTGTCATATATCAAAATGACCAACGAATATAAGACATATTACATTCCATACCTTTAAAACATTAACACAACAATTTCAAATAGGCACCAAAGCGAAAACACCATCGCGCATAATGGGGGACCACAACAAAAACAACATTTGACTTAATGGGGGACCACCATAAGTAATTCCATAAACAAATATGCAATTGATCACGTCTCACACAAAATTAGAAGGAGCACAACATTCGAAAACATTTAAAATAAAACCACAACTTTAAAAGCCCTAAATTGTCCAATCATTGCAACACCACAACACTGCCAAAAACCCAAAATAAACACACATAATCATGTATATTCAACAAATATACACCTTCCACTTTCAATGGAACCCACTTTGTTGTTAAAGAAATGTTGATTTTGCACTTTGACTTCTTCTCTGTTCGAAATCCCCAATTTTGCTTCTCTTCTTCTATGTTCAAAATTCTCAATTTTGCTTATCTTCTTCTCTGTTCGAAATCCTCAATTTCACTTCTCTTCTTCTCTGTTCAAAATCTCCAATTTTGTTGCTCTTCTTTTCTGTTTAAAATCCACAATTTCGCTTATCTTCTTTTAAGTTCGAAACTCCCAATTTGTAAACATTCATGTGTCAATTTTTTTAATAAACTTTAATCCCAAAATTTCTACATTAGAAAATCCTTATTGAATTACACATCAGAAAACAAATGTCACAACACAACAAAAATCTTTAAAATCATAAATAATTCCACATTAAAAAGATAGCGAGACATTGATGAGAAATGAAGGATAAGAGTAAACAAGTAAAAGGGACAAACATGACACGATCTCATCTTTTATTGTACTAGTGTTGCATTGGCGACTAGATATTTCAAAAAAAAAAAAACTTGATATATTTCTTACCTACGAAACTAGAAATTCTTTAGACTAAAATCGGTTAATGTATAGCCAGTCCTATTTAAGATTTCCAGTGTTAATGTTTATTTATATTTAATTTCAACTAAAAAAAGTTAGAGTTGTTAATTTGAGATAAAAATAATAAGACTTAGTTAAGTATAATTTCTTAATAAATTTTAATATTTTTTGAATTGAGTTTGTTATTTTATTTTATTGAATAATCAACTTTGATATTTTACTTAAGTTCATTCCAGTTTAATATCACTATTATTTTACTACTCTGTCATCCTTCTTTTTTTTGTGTTAAGAAATATAAAATATTGAATTAATATAAAAAATAGAAAGTAATAAAAATTACTTATCATTTAAATTAATCACTGTGTTTAATATAAATATAAAAAAACTCGTATTTCTTAATATATAAAACAAAAACAAATAATGAAAAAATTTAAACGACAAATATTTAATTGAAAAATATAAAAATTTTAAATAGTGAATTGAAAATATCTAAATTTATCATAAACTTAAATTTTAACTAAACCAAATAATAATTCCTTAAAAATGAGTTTCGAATAATTTTTATAATGGAAACCCTAGATTAAAAATTCTGAATGAAAAATATTGAACAATGTTGCTTCCTTCTTACGAATTAATTCAACTTATGTTATTGCTTGTTGAATTCAAAACCTAAAAGCACTCTTACCAATTTCTTTTATTTTAAATTCTTATTTCCCTCTATCTATCTAATTATAATGAATATTTTTCTTCTATTAAAAAATTCTTATTTTCCCGAATTAACTGAAATGAAAATAATCCCTTTCCTATTAAAATTAAGTTTGTTTTAAATTCTCATTGTCCAGAATTTACTCAACTATAAATAGTATTTATTTTCTTGCTATTAATATTACACCATTTAAATCATTACTTTCTCAATCTTAAATAATCTGTTGGTACTACTAAAGTTGCATTTGCAAAAATTGTAAATTAGCCTTTCATCTCTTAAAAACAGTTTTCAATTTCTTAACATTTTAAAATTTAGATTTAATTACTCAATTAATTCTTATAGTTGTAAAAACTTCAGCTTTTAGCATTCATACTTAACAAAAATTGCAATAACACGATTTTAGTGCTTACGGTGGACTGAAACAACACAATTTTAGTTCCTGCAAAGATTTGAGATTAATTACAATAATATTGTCAAAATCATTGGACAACATTGGTCGCCATTTGCATATCTAAACACTCACTTTGATATCTTGGAGTTAAGAGGCATCATGTTGGTTTGAAATAACAAGATTATTTTTGTAAACAGGAGTTGACGTGATAGAATTTGAAATACACCATTGCCATTACTGACTTCTTTGGTAATAAGGTACAGATTGAGCTTCCATTTATATTGGATTACGTAGTTACCACATGAACTCCAACTCATACAATTACAATTTGTGGTACTGGTGGATCAGATAAAACCACAATGCACAGTGGTATAGTATTATTAAGCTTGTAAGTTAATAACATCAGTTTATGGTCTATCTTTATTATCTATGCAGAACATATATATTATCCAAAACAAACTTGTCAGTAACTTTCAGTAAAGGTCCAAAATATAAACTCAACCGTAATACAAGATTATGGTCTAAATTGACCCCAATGAAAATTTGATGCGGTAGAAACTCTCAAAATTGCAAACTTTTGGCAAAGAGCACTAAAAATAGACCTGCAAAAGAAGGCTACCACGGCTATGGGGTAGTTTGTGCAGTGGCAGAAGAGGCTCGTGAGTGCAATAAATTCAACCAAACCTGAATTTCAGCTAAGCACTAAAAGGATTTGAGAACTAAAGATTTTTCAAGACTTGCTTCAACATGGATGCAGAGAAGGAGAACATCAGTACCACTGAAAATGCCATTCTCAATCAAAGTTGTCAATTTTGATGGGAGTAATATCATCAGCAACATTGAAGTGTCCAACCAATCGTGCAAAGAAGACCATTTGTTGTTCAAGTGTAAACTTAATGTTCTCAGCCTGCATCAAACCCGTTATTGGTTGTAATCACTGTTTCAGTTTAAAAGTTTACTTCAAGTGGTGCATACCTTTCGGAAACCATGTTGTTCTCCTTCATACTCAACAAGAGCAACTGGCACACCTTTTTCCTTTAGAGCCTGGTAAATTTTTCGAGCTTGTTCTGGTGGTACAACCTGCATTGTACACAATATATTTATTGGGTACACCAAAAGATATATATTTATCAGATTAAATTCTAACAAAGACATAGAAGATTTAAGAAAAGGCTGACAATTTCCATCCCAAAATCCTTTAAGCAATAAATATGTCAAAGAGAAAAATTTTAACTGCATTGCTACTAACCTTGTCCTCCAACCCCTGAAATAAAATTATGGGACAAGAAAATTTGTCAACATGATTGATTGGTGATCTTTCATAGCACCCTTTCTCACCTCCTACAATCAGTTAAGACAGATTGAGCATCAAATCAAATGAAAGAAACAAACCAAAGAAATTTTAAATACATTAAATGGTTCATTGTTAACTTACCACCCAGTCTATCGATATAATGAGATTCAAATTTATGAGTTTCCGCTCTCAACAAGTTCACGTCAGCTACCTGTTTGAGACACCAGTTGACAAATAAATTCCATTGTTAAACTTTTATTCTTTGTTAAAGTTGTAACAACATCCACTACGTTACACTTCATTTTGATAAAAAGCTGGTTGAAAAAGGCACATGTTTAGTATCTTAGCTGTAAGCAATTAAAGCGATTATTAGAATTCAGAAGCAATCACTAAGAAGAATATTCTAGCTGAAAAACAAAATTGTTTTTGACATTCTATATATTATCTTTGTTAAAAGAGTGAAAGTAAATCACATGCTCCAACGCCAAATAGTATCAACTGAGGACAAATCAGAAATCCAATATATGGTAGAAACATAGAGCGGGTTAGAATATTTTAGGGCAAAATTGAATTATCAGAAGAAGTTTCACTCACACCATACAAAGAAGCACCGGCCTTAAAAGTTTCTTTAAAAGCAAGAGCTGCTAAGGTGGTATACCCACCAGCAGAGCCCCCTGTAATACAAAGCCGCTTCCCATCTACCTTTCCACTGTTAACCTACATAAGAGATCATATTGCACTACCAATCTTACAACAGATTCTTCAATTACAAATTAGGGAAAAAATTACAAAAATACCAAGTATGTAGCACAACTACAACAGTCATTGACATCAACTATTCCCCAACGTCCCAAAAGCCGTTCGCGAAACTCCCTGCCATAACCTTCCAAATAACATTCTAGTTAGACAAATTGACTTCCATCCTTTCAATAAGTGAAATGACTAACATACACAACAGATGATACAAATTAAAATAGTGAATAATAAATAACCTTAAGCTCCAAGGATGGCCAAAAAAAACCAATAAACTTAAGTAGAAAGAATTACGAGTTCTAACTACAAAAACCAAAAATATCAGGAAGAATAGGTAATTAAGAAATCAGAATATAATTTTGTAGGCAAGGTGAGGAACAAACCAGTGCTTCCACCATAATTAACATCAACAAAAGCCCAACCCCTACTAGTCCAGTACTGAATGCTCAAATTTAAAATTCCACGCGCTTCAGCGGTTGGTCCTCCTGAAATATTCAAACACAATGTGCCTATAAAAGTGTGCTGTATGAAATCATTAGACTAAGAACCCGTGAAACATGTCTTTAAGGCGATGGACATCACAATTTAGAGAAGGATTACATAATACGTTTTCAAAACATTGTGTTAGAGAAAAAGTTAACAAACCAGACAATATAAGATTTAGACTTCGACATTCAGGAAAAGTTAGAGGAAAGAATGGTTTGGGCATATTACTGTGGACATCAATTTTTCATTAACATTTCTTGATGAACATAACTAAACCAAAGTCAGTATGTATTCAACAATGTAAAATCAAAACTAGTACTACAGTTCTAACATTTTAAAGGTTCTAACTAGTACTATTATTACAATCCATCCACAACCTCCATAATATACAGCGTATTAGCATACAGTTCTAACATTTTAAAGGTCATCCATTTTCAATTATCAAGTACATAGATCATGAGATAACAAAATACATATGACTAACAGTTGCAGAGGCAAGACCCCACTCCACAGCTGATAGGTAACCGAGTAAGAAGCCTCTCAATCTCCCTTACACACTCATACCAAGGCACACAAACAAGAAAGAGCAAATGAATTGAATTGTATTCACAGCAAAGATCAACGAATACAATGATGAATTCGGGAGCCTAACCCCCCTCACAGGGTCCAAGACCTGTCTGTACAAAGAATGTAGTTAACTAACTAACAGAAAATACAAATGGGTCCTCTTATAAAGACACCCTTCCCGCCTTCTCCTAACTGCCTAAGCAGTTAAGTATTCCCTCTTACTTCCCTACTTTCTTCCTCCTTTCAATAGACTCTCCAGCTCCTAACATTACTCCCCCCTTGAAAATCAACCTTGTCCCCAAGGTTGAATTCAGGGAACTGCTCTTGTATGGTTATCCTATCTTCCCAGGTTGCACCATCAGTCCCTCCTTGCCATTTAAATCAGGACCTGCTCATGCCTGTCTTGTCTTCTCCCTATTGGTGTATTCTTTTATCCAAAACTTTACTCGGCCAGCAGGATGGCCCCTCCATCTACAGATCCGCAAGCAACTCCTTCTCCACCCTATTTGCTCCTATTGCCAGTTTGAGTTGGGACATGTGAAATACAGGGTGGATCCTCGCAATATCTGGCAGTACAGTCTGAATGCTACCTCACCCACTTGTTGGACCACTTTGAATGGCCCATAGTACCTTGCTGCCTATTTCAGGTGCATTCTTACTGGCATTGAGGATTGTCATGAGGCTGAATCTTCAAGTACACCCAATCATCCACATTCTTACTGGCATTGAGGATTGTCATGAGGCTGAATCTTCAAGTACACCCAATCATCCACTTTGATAGTTACGGGTTTTCTTCTGCGGTTTGTTTGCTTCACCATCATGTCTTGAGCTTGGGCCAAATGGAACTTGAGTTGTTGAAGAGCTTCATATCTTGTCTGGAGCTCTTGAGCTACAGCCTCTACTAAGGTTTCCCCTGGAATAAACCTTACCAATGCTAGGGGTGCTCTCCCATAGAGTATTTCAAATGGGGTACACTTTGCAGCACCCTAATAACTCGTGTTATACCAATACTCTACCCAGGGAAGGATCACACTTCAGCTCTTCGGTTGCTCCGAGCAGAAACACCTCAAATACCCCTCCAACACTCGATTCAACACTTCTGTCTGGCCATCCGACTCTGGATGGTACGCTGTACTCATCTGGAGGCTAGTTCCCTACAATTTAAACAACTCCCTCCAAAACAAACTCAGAAATAAAGGATCCCTATCACTAACTATGGACTTAGGCACACCATGTAGTTTCACCACTTCTTTCACAAACACTTCTGCCAACGTTTGTGCTGTATATGGATGCTTCAATGGAATGAAGTGTCCACACTTGCTTAGGCGATCCGCCACTACTAATATTGCATCAAACCCCTTAGACTTTGGAAGCCTAACAATAAAATTCATACTGATACCTTCCTAAATTGCTTGAGGAATGGGTAGGGGTTGCAACAATCATTGTGGGGATGCTGCTAAATACTTGTGCTGCTGGCACACTGATAACAGTTGAAACTGAACCTTTATGACTTAGAAATTAGTTTGGAATCATGCTTTTGATTAAGTTTTGGAAATAAGAGAGTTGGATAGGTTTTATGCTTAGTTTTCCTTGTTTTTGCAGGTTTTAAGATGAATTGAATGAAAGAAGTGAAGTAGCCAGAAGTTGGACTCCGAAAAAGAAGGAAATGTGCACAAAAGAAGAGCCGCAAGTACCGCTCAGCGCCACTTACCGCTGAGCGGGACTCTGAAGTCCCGCAGTCAACGCTGAGGGGCAAAATTGTAGTTGAGCATCAAAATAGAAGAATCGCACTTACCGCTGAGTGCCATTTTATTGGGCCTTGGGCCAATTTTCTGTAATTTTTAGGAAGCTATATAAGGTTTTAGCCGAATTAGGTTTATCATCTTTGGACAGAAAGAGCCGAAACCACACTTTCTTCACCCCTTGGNGTCCTGGTACCTCGCGACTGAATTCGCTTCTGGTAGCTACCCTAGCGGTTCCGCCCCACACACTGGCCCTCTTGGTCGACTGTCCCCCACTGACTTTGGATTGGGAGCACAACTTCTGTACGTCCCGGGCGATCCGCATAGCCGTCATTAGATCTTGCGGGTCATGGGGTCTCACACAATCGCTTATTTCCTCTTGCAATCCCGCCATAAAATATCCCAAGAGATGTTCCTCTGGAATTCCGGTAGTCTGCCCCACCAATACTTCGAAATCCCTAATATACTCGCTCACAGCGCCTCCCTGTTTAATGACGGCCAGTCTCTCATAGACGAACCCTCGACCTCCTTCTCCAAATCTGATCACCAACGCTCTCTTCAATCCCTCCCACGATCTGTTCCGGGTTTTTTCTCTCCAAAACCGAAACCAGTAAGCAGCATATCCTTCCATACTGATGAACGCCAACTGCACTTTCTCGTCCTCGGCCACCCTCTGCACTTCATAAAATTTCTCCGCTCTACTTATCCAGATCAACGGGTCGCCTCCTTCAAACCCCGGTAACTCTACCCGTTTCCTCCAATTGGGAGGGCAATCTTGATTTCCCTCTCGTCTCCGTTCTCGGTCTCCTTCGGCTCCACCACCGTTGTCGTTCACGGACGACTCACTGGCTCTTTGGCGGTTTCCATTTGGATCGCGATTGCGGTCCCCCATCATCCTCAAGATCGCCTGGATGTCTTGCCTCATCGCCTCATAATTCTGTCTCAGTGCCCCCGTATCTGCCTTCGTCTCTGCCACTGCGATTTCCACCGCTTCTAACTATCCTTCCACCGCCACTACTCTTCCCTCCATTCCGCGCCCACTCTACTCCTCCAATTGGGATCCGGCAGGTCGGACCAATTGATAGGTTTCTGATAAAGAAACCTATTCAAGATCCTCTAGAAACAGCACTTAGGCGCCAAGAAAACAGAAAGAAAGCAAATTGTGCTGTATATTATTCACAAAGTCAAGTCTGTACACTCACACAAACAAGGGCTTAATCCCTTCAACAGGCTGGATCCTGTTTAACTAACAACTGTCAAAAAGTCCCTCAGCAACTAACCTCTCTACAATTTATATTCTCCTATTCCCGCCCTACCCAACTGTAATAAACAGTTGGGTTACTCGACTAACTCATTAACTCATTTTTTTCCTTCTCTCATAAACCTTCCAACTCTTCTGATTCCTAACAGAGCCTATATGTTATTACTTTGAAAGCATGAATGACTTTGCCCAGGTTTCTATGGTTGAATCACTTGCTTGTTTGTACGATATCATGAAGGCCATTTGTTGGTAACCCTTTATTAGCCAAATGCATGATTTTAGCCCAATAAAAGAGAGCACAATGTGTTCTATCCTTTGAACCCTTAGCTTTGAACATGTTAGAAAACCCTTTTTGAAAAGGTTTACCTTGAGTTGAGTTGAAGATATCTTGTGGTATTGATAAATGTTCAAGTTTAGGGTTGTTGGGAAGTCTCAAAAGGGAATATGAAAAGCATTGAGCTAAGCATATGAAAAGCAAAATATAAAGGAAAAGAAAAGAAAAGAAAGAGAGAAGAAGGAAGAATGGTTGTGTTTAGATGATTCGTTTAACTCAAGGATTTTGTGATCCAGAAAAACCAATTTTCTTGTTAGCCTAGCCACATTATAAGCCATAGAAAAGTCCTTGTGATGATACTTGCTTGTGAATGTGTTTGATTGTGGTTAAATGAAAGGCAAAGTTAATTCATGTGACATTGTGAATTGTGATAGTAAAGTGAAGGAGTGAAACACTTTATCTGGTAAGGAAAGAGTCCATGAGCACATGATTACATTTATGCTTAGTTAATTGATCATTCATAAGAATAGCATTTGTTGGATAGTATGTGATTATGTGAACACCAAAGCATGTGTGCATCTTGACTGAATTCTTTGTGATGAGCTGATTTGAGTAATTACTTGTCTTGGAGAAGAGAGTTTTTAATGTGGTGAATCATTGTATGGATTGGTGGAAGACTGAGTTACATTTTGTTTGCTTGAGGACAAGCAAAGTTCTAAGGTTTTGCCACTTTTACTACTGAGCGGCACTCTGAAGTCTCGCAGTCAACGTGAGGGGCAAAACTGCAGCTGAGCGTCAAAATAGAAGAATCGCACTTACCGTTGAGCGGTAATTACCGCGCTGAGCGCCATTTTATTGGGCCTTGGGCCAATTTTCTGTAATTTTTAGGAAGCTATATAAGGTTTTAGCCGAATTAGGTTTATCATCTTTGGACAGAAATAGGCGAAATCACACTTTCTTCAGCCCTTGGAGGAGGATTTTGCATGCTCAAACTCTATTCTACAACTTCTAGTGTTCTATCTTTCATTCTTTCATTGTTTTTCATATAGTTTCCCCATGTCTATGGTCAACTAAACCTTCATTGTTGTTGGGGAACCGATGTAATCCTTTGAAGTTCTCATGTATTGAATTGGTTCTTTAATCTAATTCTTTCTT